TTCTACACAGCCATGCTTTCTTCACATGCCCAAACGTCCAGTCGCCACATATGGTCTCAAGTAAGCATTAGTACAAAATCCAAAACATCTCTGGCAGCTGAAGACATCTAACGCCCAATTACACAGCTAAGTCAAGGCCTTAGACCCTTCTACGGTGCGGTACCTTAAATTTCTATGAATGGAAGGCTTTATCCACACTAGCAACTCCGGAAAGGTCTCAGATTGCATTAAAGCATGCCCCAGAAGCAGCCTATTATACTATAGCCCTAAAAAAGAAATTTCAGAAAAGTATTTAGAAAAATTATAAGAGGGCTCAGAGTAGGATTCTACATCTTTCAGATACATATATATAAGCAAGTTACTCAAAGAAATAGTTCATTAGAAGACATCAAAGTAGGTATGATTTTATTACTACTTTATTGTCTTTTCTACCAGTTGTGTCAGCACACAACCTTTGTTTCCCGTAAAGCAATACTGCCCTCTTTTGGTGTAATTTATTATGCACAATGCTTTTGATACAATTCCTCAGCAAGGTTAGAAAGCATTTTTTAGGGACATGCTATTTTTTTTATTTTTGTAGAAAACCAACCCGTTGAGTTTTGAAAAAAACACAAACTAAAACAAAGTACTACAAATAACAGACTTAGTTTCGTAGGATGTTGATCTAAAAAGGTCTCTACTGTTAATGGATTACTGAAGCTAATGTTACAGAATTTGTTATACGTGCAGCAAACAGTACAAAAATAGTGCATTATGTGTTTCCTTTTACTGATTACAGCACAAATATGCACTGTATCATTTAGCAGAGACACAAACTGAAGGCCAGGACAAAAACTAATGTAAGTTAGAAAGATTAAACCCAGGTATTTAAAGTGGTTAAAATACTGAGCAAAATCTCTTTTCAAGCTAACATACAAAGATTATTGTTTGGACACACCTGGGAACTGTGAGAAATTAAAGATTTTGAAACAGGAATCAAAACTCCTTGCTAAGTCTTTTATGATATAAACTGATCTGTTGCTACTGTTTATTTACCGGTCACTTCTCCCTACACAAATTTCCCACCTCTCACTCCTCCTTTATCCCTGGCTCCTGCCCCAACCCTAAAAAAATTCTTTTTGATCACTTAGTCAAGTAGAGAGATATGAAAGCTTGTTTTCACCCTTGTGTAACCCTGTAGTATGGTACTGACATTGCCAATAGCAGGCCATGCACTTTATACTGAGTTTGCAAGGCCTCCAGACTCGCTACATCTGAGCTTTCCTTGACCCGCTCGTAGCTTTTACTCAGTTTAGCTGTGACAGCACTCTATAGTTAACCTGGTGTCTATAGGTAACCCGTTTCACTCTTGTTTATCTTCATGTGGTACAACCCTAGTTTTATATAGATAACAGTAACTGCTTGTTACTGTTGGCAGAATGAGGTATTTATCATTCTCATACAACGTCACAGTGCAGAGAAAATGTGTCCCTGGTTTGACAGCAGAGGCCCTGAGAAGTGGGAATATAGAAGGCAGTGCAGGTAAGTACTAGCATGGGACAGCAAGAGGTGGGGCCCACGCTTGGTACTGGAGATCCCACAGCTGTGCACAGCTCTCCAATTGTCAGTTAACAAAACGCAGACCCAAAGCTTGACAAAACCGGTTTTAGGGGCAAAAAATACAGGATCTAACATAGGCAGACTATCATATATAGTAAACTTGGATACAAGCTGGAGCTACAGAACAATAAAGAAAGAAGGTGCAAAAGCACATTATCCAACATACAAGTGACTCCCAAGTTGATCCTGGGAAAGAAGGAGCCAGCAACATCAACAAAATATTCCTCCCATGAAGGGCTGCAGAGGCACAGAAGCCTGTGTTACTCTCTAGCAGTCACAAGCAGTGGATTTAACACTCGGGGGAAACGAAGGGAGGCTGAGCATAACTCCAAGAGAAGGAACAGAAATGAAGAAGTGCACATGCTACAATTCTAATTGTATTACTGTGATTTTTTTCCCCCTCTATATAGAAGTACTCTAACTGCACTATTTAAAATATTTAGATCCAGACTAACCATGATTCTTAGACTGTTAAGATCTCTATAAGTGTGTGTCTGTGTGTATATATCCCTCTGCCTAAAACAATGATTTTGAGTGTTACTCCTTCCAAAGAAAAACTACCTAACCCCTATCTAGGAAGTAGGGATTAGTGAGCCTCCAGATCTTGACCAGGAACCAGGTGAAAGTTTCAGTAAAAATGACTTCAGTCATGATGGTTTATATCAGAAGATGGAAAGAGTCTTTATCTTGGACACATAGGTTGTCATATAGATTTGTAATAAAGATCTGCAATTCACTAACACAATTTCAAAAGTGAGAGTCTAAAGGAAGGCTCCTGAACTAGTTAGTTTCCTTACTTAAATAGCCCAACTTTCAGAAACATTACATGAATAGAAGCCACTAGGCTTCAAAATTGATATTTTGATCAAACAATATACAGGTGCAAGAACTCAAAAGGATGTCCGAGAGAAAAAAAACTAACAAAGGGTGTATCAACAAAAAACACCTGTAGGTCCATTTGCCTGCAAGGAATACTGCTCAGTTTGTGGCGATCATCCATGGGTACTAAAGGTATCTGAAGTAGGGCAGTCAAGTAAACAGTAGAGCAGTAGGATGGTTCAGCATTATCAGGAATAAATCAGGAAACCCTAATGAATTATTTTTCAGTCTAGCAAAAAACGCTAGCAAAATGGCGAGGAAATGCTCATAAAAAGAAAAGAAAAGAAAACATTCAGCATGTATTGATACACTTTTGCCCTCTGTTCCCTCTCCTTCCAGGCTACAATCATCTTGGCTGCTTGTGAACAGATGAAGGAAGAGGGGAAAGAAAACAACTCAGTGCTTTCTGCAGTGCTTTTGCTTCTCTACAGCACTGAAGTGTTTTGCAAAACATCCTGGCAAGGTCTTACATAGATTCCTAGTTCACAGCAGCAGAGGATGGAGCTTTAACAGGGAGGTGCGAGTTCCCTTAGCTCCCCTGACAAATCTCTGGAAAGCATCACAGAATACAAAGGACAATGATCAGAAGACTCCAGAAAGAAAATGCTACCATCATGTTAAATAAAAAGCATTGATAAATCAGTGTTAGATTCTTGGTTCCATAATGACCATAAACATGGTGCAAGCCTGCGGCTAAACAAGCCAGCTTTACTTGAACAGAGTAATTCAAAAGTTGACATGTACACAGTGAAGCTACAGAAGCCAAAGAGACAGGCACTTAATAAGCCAGTCACCTAGATTTTACCGAAAGCACATCAAGAAACACAACTTTAAAGCTCTACTGTTCCACTAACACGCCAACAACTTTCTCAAAACAAGTTTATGGAAAGGACCTCATACATGACTCAAGTGTTGTCAAAATAATTTGCAGCTCATTAAAGTGGAGTTCTGTATACACCTTTAAGACGAACACAGCACACAACTCCTTTATCTTTTATAATTGATTAGTAAATCACAGCAAGGTAGAAGCTTTCAGTTTTACTCAATTACATTAATGATGGAAGGAGACACTCCTGAGGAGATATGGATTAATATTTAATGAGTTAAAACAGCTTTAATCAGGACATAGCACATTTGACTACATTCCCTATTTGTTTTCAAGTTGACAGGTAAAGATGCATTTTAAAAAGTAGTTTAGAGAAAAAAATGACAGGATTTAATAAAAAGAAAGAAAATAAACTAAGTTGCCAGTACCTAAACAAGCAAGAGACAATGCTCAGCTGAACAGAGCTGTTCAGGTTCATTTCAATGAACACTGTTTCCCAAGTTTTTGGGAGGCAGCTGTTCAGTTCTTCCTGAACAACATGGGATTAAAATCTCCAGGTCTTCTGAAAAGACTGCGCTGGTCTTGAGACCTCCTCCAGACCAAAGACGATAAAAACCCCTGGAAGTTCCAATTCATCACATCCTTCCTTACAGTGACCACAATTACAGTATTGCTAGTCAGCTTAGCCTACCTGATACCGAGTACAAAGGAATACTGAAGAGAGGTATGGTTCTCTCCTACTGGAATAACGTAGCCAAGTTTGACATACTCTGTAGATAAGCTAGACCCTCAGTAGAAGTACCCTGTGAATAGATGAGCTAAACATTCAGTAGGCAAAAGACGACCTTGAAACTTATCTTGGAGTAAAAGACTGAGTTCAATTAGCAGACACGGTGAGGAAGACTATCGACGACCACCAGAGGACCCTGAAAGACCACCAATGGACATAAGAGCGCATGCGTTAAAGACTTTTACATATGTTAATGAGTTCCAGGAAATAATATGAATATGCTAATCATTTCCTGGAAATTTAATGAATATGTATGTTCTAACTGTACGTAACTCCCACAGTTAAGCAGCTCGGCGCGCACACTAGGTGGAGCGATCCCCTGCGCGTCCAGTGCCGTAATAAAGAATGCCTGCTTTCTAAAACTCCAAATTGAGTCTTAGAGAGTTTTTAATTTGCCGACTTACGGTAACATACCCACCTTGTATTTTGCCTCTTAACTGCTAACAAAATAAGGCTGCATCAAGAGGGAGTTTCAATAGGAAGTGTCACTCGCTAACTGCTCACCACCCTTGCTATTCTTACCTCAAAGTTTTCCTTATTTATTTTGACCTAGATAGTTGCTCTGTTGAGGGTGAAAACAATCTCAATATTTAGAAACAAAAACCATGAAACCCTTCTTGAGTATATAGCTCAAGCATAACTTCTGGGCTCTCCAGAAGAAACTAACTCTCCACGTGAGTACTTCAAAAGTAGTGCTGGGCCCAAAATAGCTTTCCTGTGTCATGAATAACATCTCATCTTCCGACCTTTGCAAAAATTCAAAATTTAGCAAGAAGGTGTATTACTCTATTTCTGAAATTCAGGAATAGCCTTTATTAAGAAGTTACTGACCTAACTATGAACAAACTGGTATCTGAATTTCCAAATAACTGAAAATACTTGCACAGAAACACAAAAATTCAAGCAAGCAGAAACCACCAAAAAAAACCAACAACATTTTATTGCAACAATGTCCCCATCATCAACTGAGGTGGCAAAAATTTTTAATTCATTTTGCGTTCCTACCTTTTTATTTATGTAAATATTATTTATGTTAATATAAATTCAAGAGTGGAAAATAAATCCACATACAAAACACAGAAGAAACATTCTCTTTCAGTGACTCAAAAAAACCCTTACATACTGAAGAATCATGACAAGTCATCCGCTGTCCATTTTTCCAAGTATACAGGCGTGAAAAAATGCAGAAATTTATTCTCCAAAAGCATCCTGTATGAAGTCCTTGAAGTATTTAAGTAATATTTAGTAATCTCATACTCTTGAGCTTATGGATGTAGATTCCAAGAAAAGGACACACAAAAAACATCTCAAACTTCAGATTATTTAAACTCCATCTAAAATAATCCATTTAAAACAAGATTATGTTCAATTCTTATAGCTGAAGCATCACAGATGCTTTATTAGTATCATTATTTGGGAAAACTATTTCTTATTAGTTTTTCCTGCTTTTAAAATAAAGTCAGAATGCTTATTTCAAATAGTTTTGTTTACTTATACTGTAAATGTATTGCGGAAAGTAACTCCACATGCTGGTACAACAGGCCTTCATGAAGTTCCACTTAAACATTACTATGATGTACCTTAGAAAACAGGGACTAAAGCATTAAATGCACCATAAAGAGTCAGTGTCATGGGATTATGTATTATCTTCCTTTTCAGATGCAACAAAATGCTTATATATTTTGAAGTCAATATTGGATTGTTAGACCACATATTGGCTGGTTATAAATACTTGAGCTAGGAACATTTACTGTTTTAGAAAGATGTGATTATTTTGTTTTATTGTTATTACACAAAAAAAATGTTACCAATATTATAAAATATATCATGCAGAATATTTCAAGAGGAATGTTTTTCACTGGGTCCAACAGGCAGATGTTTCCAATGATTGTAGCTTTTAATGCATATCATGCCAAGTTCTTAATAAACAGTGTTTTCCCTCATGGTTATGTTACAACAGAGAATGAAGAAATCAAGATGGTAAAAGCAAACAAAGTTAAAAATGAGAACCGCAAGTAACTTCACAACTAGAAGAGGAAAAATCATAGAAGGATTTAAATCAGCACTATTGTGGGTCCCCACAGCTGCACGGCTACTCTTAGGTTTCCAAAAGATGCGTATGATTTTATACATATTTTTGTGCTAAGAGCCATGCTCAGAAACAAAATATAGGCTAGCACAAGTCTACCTTCTTGGAGATGCATGTTAAGTATAAAATTCACTTACTAAAGTGCATTTGCTGAACAAGTTCTAACTTCTACTGTTATAGCTATCCCAATAAGCAATACAAACTAAACTTTGTTGAAATTCTACCTCTACTTAAAAGCAGTAAATATAGATGACTGATATTTAAATTACAATCTCGTATTACCAAACATTTTGACTCGATGCTCTGAGCTGTAGAAATAAACAAAATGTACTGTCCTAAACTTCCCACAAATGAGGAAGTGCCTCTAGTTAGAAATACTGAAAGTGTAGAATGGAGTTAAATATAAGCAGAGCTGAAGTAAGCATCGCTTTGCTTCTTATTCAATATGATGTTTCTTTAAGGCTTTGAGAGAAGCTGTTACTTTTCTCAAGATCTTTTGGCAAAAGATAAATGCAGAAGTAGCAGGGTCATCTGACATTTCAGAACTTGTATTTTCATATTTCATTAAAGCCAGCTCATTCAGTGTCTGTATATATTTATTGCACTTGTGTTGTTGGAATACATCTATACCAACATAGTAATAATGATTGCAACAAAGCCATAGTAAAATAAACTTTAAAAGGGTCTGATTCTGACATTAGAGGATAAGTGTCTGGATGTTTAAAATGTTCCCCTAATAATAATAAATATAGACAAATTGCTCATCAAGTCAGATGCACATGTTTAACAATTATTTAGCATATATAAAATTTCACTCATCCTTTTATCAATACAAATCTGTTAGGGATCAAAAAAGACTTACCATGCAAAATATTGATTAGTGCTGCATAATGGAATATATATTTCTATCAGAGTTAAAACAGCATTTTCAAAATTTAAAGAAAAATAGATTTTTAAAAAGGAATTCTACTGTTGAATGCAAGTCTTCGTTGTAGCAAAGACAAGATAGAAACAAGTTACGATTTATCGCTGTACTTCAGTCTTGATGAAAGACTAGTAATAATTTGTCCACCTACTTAATAAATGCTACATTTTCAAGAATAAAGGAACTATCAGTAGGTATTATTTCTACTTAAAACAAGTTATTTCTCTCTGTAATAGGTCAAGTATGCTTTTAAAGATTCAGGTAATGGTAGACTCATAATTTTCTCTCTCAACAGATTTCGAGGAGGCTCTTCTGGCTTCAAGGCCTCACTGTGATCTTTATCCTCCTCATCTTTGTTATCGTCTTCCATTCTTTCATCTTCTTCGCTATCTAGAGGCTGAGGAATGAGCTGATTACCAACAAACACATAGGTGTTAATCCTGCGTCTACGACATCTCCTGCGTTTTCGTTTCGGAGGAGCCTTTTGAGCAATACCCTTGGCTTTCATCTCCTCATTTATGAAGTTTCTAAGGGTGCGTCTGATATATATTCGAGCGAGGTCCTGGAGATTCCTAACAGCACATGGAGCTAAAACGAAAGAAAAGGAAGTTATACTAAGTGAAATTTCCCTCTAGCAAAAAAATTAGCTGCAAGGCCGTAAGACTAATGTTCAAGAATAATTGAAATTTTAGTACATGATACAATACGCAAATGAAACAAGGGTAGATAGAGCCACCTTGACAAACCCTGTGGCGCAGTCCAAGAAATTTAGAGGTCTTTTGACAGATGTGCAAGAGAAGTAGAAAGCATGAACAGATTATTAAAATAAATTTAAGAAAGCATACAACAAATACTGTCACCTTTTAGCACCTGGCAAGTCTTGGGACCTACTGCTGGCACTGTTTTAAGATCCTGCTGCTGGGAAACAATTTCTACCCCTATGTCACATTTGTTTAGGCAAGTGCCCTTCTACTGCCTCCCTCTTCCACTCGCTATGCTTTTCCCTACTTCCTACTGACCCCAACTGATGAGGGATGGCCATGTCAACTTCACAGCTGACCAACCAGGTAAGTCACCCATATCTTTGCAGCAGAAAAGGAATCAAAATTACTGAAGTCCTGAAGAAAAAAAAGCAAGTAACAAAAAGCCAAAAGCCACATATTTTCCAATGACAGACAAGTAAGTGAGGACTAAGTATTGCTGGGCTGGTGGATGCCTGCCCTAGATGAGCTATGGCTGGCTAATACCAAAGAAAACAAAACCAAAAAAGCACACCAACCAAAACTTCAGCCTGTTTGACTTTCTTGCTTGTCATTTTTCTTCCTATACAAAGTAGCATAAAATTAATGGGGACTACAGCAAGGAAGAAGTTAGTGAAAAAATAATTTTGATAATTACACTTCCAATATTGCATTCAGCTTAAAAACCACTCAATTTATTTCAAACAAAATCTATTGTTTCATACACTGACTTCAATTGCATGCTAGTTACTCATACTTGAGACAGAAAGGATGTTTATGACTGGCAATACTGATTTCAGCTAACACCAACAGAAATAAAAAAAACCACGAAGCCCCATTTGTTTAATATAAAACCAACTCAAAATTCAAGAACAAAACCCTATCTAACCATCCAAAACACATTTATAAGATCAGGCTAAACAAGCTATGATTGTAGATTGTATGCCAATCATAGTAAATGCAAGCACAAGGTATATAAAGTTGAAGTAATGGACTACCAGGCATTTGTCCCATATACAGAACTGTGTAAGAGAGACTTCATGAAGTCAGAAGGAAAAAAAAAGTTTCCTTCAAGAGAGGATGGAACAAAATTTTGAAACACTGCATCCTGAAAAAGGTGTAACAGCAGTAAGCTCTCAGCTTTCTTATCCTCTAAGATAAAATAACCGTATCATTTTTAGTGCTAGTTATGACTGTTTATATTCTATTTGATTTTGAAGACAACAGCATCTAAAAGGTTTAAAGACAAAGTAAGCTCCTCAGAGTCACATTCCAGATCATAAGCTATAATTGGTAACTACCAACAATTCATACTACATAAAGGAATTCAAGGCCTAAAGCTCCTGCACTTCTCAGAAATCCCAGACACACATGTAGCATAAAGAAAATGAACTTTTAGAAAGCTTCAGACTTGCTTTTTTTTTTTTTTTTTTAAATAAATGCTTGATAGGAAGGATAATTAGGAAGTCCTACAGTGAGACAGTCAGAAAGCTCTCCTATGCAGGTAATATAAAATCTGTTTGAATACAGAACTACTCAGGAGGACACCTAGGAAAGACTTCAAATAACAGAAGTAGCCTTAAGTTCCACTGATATTCATGTATTTCTTGGCCAGTTTGGCTTAAATCCAACTCACTTGTTTTGATTAGTGATCTTCTCAAACTTGCTTGATGTTTAAAAATTACATTTGAGGTTAACCAAACTTAAAACTATAATAAAATTTAACTGATTCTAAGAAGTTTCCTCTTTTCTCCTTCATTACATTACATTCTTCTCCTAGAGAAGAGAAGGCTTCGGGGAGACCTTATTGCAGCCTCTCAGTACTTAAAGGGGGCTTATAAAAAAGATGGCAGTGAACTTTTTTGCAGGGCCTGTAGCGACAGGACAAGGGGGAATGGCTTTAAACTAAAGGGGGGGAGATTTGGACTAGATATAAGGAAGAAATTTTTTAGGCTGAGGGTGGTGAAGCACTGGCAC